TTCGACCATACTCTGGAGGTTGGCTCTGGAGACGGCAGGCGAATGTCTCTCGCTAGGGCCGAAACAGACGAACCCAGGTCTCCGACAAAGTCGAATAGGCCGCGTAGCAACTCTCCGACGCGACCTATGGCCTCCCGCAACACCTCAACCAACGTACGAGGTGGCCATAAAGTCCGGAGATCCGGCTCAGGGAGCTCGCATTCCAGCCTGTCCGACTCTTGGCATCACGCCCGACCAGGGAGCTCGTCCAATATGCTCAATATGGGCATCTTGCCGGCCTCGAAGTGGCGCTTCCTCAAACATTTGAGCTTGCCCGATAACTCCATGACATCGATTCCCGCCTCGAGCTTGGCCCCGCTGGCCAACACACTGCACTCCCTCGACCTGTCCTCGAACTTATTCGTGCAAATCCCCGACAGTCTTGCCACCCTGACCGCACTTCGAGCCCTAAACCTGTCTCACTGCATGATCGACTCGCTGCACTCTCTGACCCGAAACCCGCTGCCGGCCATCACCGCTCTGAACCTTCGCGGCAATCGCCTTCAGTCGCTGGCCGGCGTCGAGAAGCTGTATCCGTTAGAGCGTCTTGATCTGAGGGACAATCGTATCACTGACCCGCTGGAGGTTGCAAGACTCACCGGTATCCCCGACATTCGCGAGATCTGGGTCGAGGGGAATCCGTTCACTAAAACACATCGGGACTACCGAATTACGATATTCAATCTGTTCCGGAAAACGCCGGGCTACACAGAAGATATTGTGATCGACAATGTAGGCCCTAGCTACTCGGAACGGCGATACCTTGTTGAGAGAGCGCCAGTCCCTGCTGCAGTGCCAGTTGTCAAGGCCCCGACCGCCGATCTGCCTGCGGTTGATGTCAGCAAGCCTGCGATCATATACGATGAGCCCGTGGAATCCCTCTCCTCATCGCGGAAGGAACGGCCCACACCCAAGGCCGTCACCAGCGAAGTCAACACCAGCTCGACCAGACGTCGAAAGGCGCCAAAGCGACGC